TTTCACTCAGCCTGTCTTAACAGTAACAGTGAAGCCAGAAACATATTAACGTATCGTGTCGTGTCGTGGCGCGCCAGAAGCAGATCAGTTTCATACATTTAATTCAATTCAATTCAATTCAATTTATTGCAGTCATGTGGTTACATGGATGGTTACAAGTTACAAAATGCATAAAGTACCTAACATGAACCCTGTCAGGGTATCGCAATATAGATAAAAATTACAAAAGAGAATTTAACAAATAAACAATTATCTATATAATGAAGAACCTAATATTTATTAAACAACTTTTTTTTCTCAAAGCATGCATAAATGTCATCTGATTTCATTAATTTTATAACTTACTCAATTGATCTTATTTACAGTACTAGTTTAATTTTGTAATTATTATTATGGAAATTCTTTTATAAAATTAAATTTGTCAATAATTAAAATTAAAAAATATGTCAATAAAAATAAAATAATATGTCAATAAACATGATTATATAATCTAGGTTTGTATTTTAAAGATCGCCTCATTAATATTATTTTGTTGCAAAGTATTCATCTATGGTGTAAAAGCATTTATCTAATAAATATATTTTCAATTTTATCCTAAATTGGTTAAAATGTTTTTCGTTTTTTATGTGAGCGGGTAATTTATTATAAATTTTTATACACATATAATATGGACTGCTACTAAGTTTTCTCAATCGAGATGGTGGTAAATATAATCGATTTTTGTGCCGTGTATTTATATTATGTGTTTCGTCAACTTTTTTAAATACGTCTAAATTTTGATGTACGAATAGTGATACGTCTAGGATATATATGGATGGTAAAGTCAGGACTTTGTATTTTATAAAATATGGTCTGCAGCTTTCCGTATTGTCTATGTGGGCTATGATACGTATACATTTCTTTTGCATTATAAAGAGCTCGTTAGCAGTTGTGCCGTTTCCCCATAGCATTATTCCGTACCTTAGCCATGAATACGCATATGCATAATACGCAGATAACGCCGTGTCTATATTTGTACATTGTTTTAATTGATAAAGAGCATATGTGAACTTAGCAAGCTTACATTTAGTGGATTCTACGTGGGACTTCCAATTTAAGTGCGTGTCAATGGTCATACCGAGCAAATTAAACGATTCTACAGTTTCGAGATCTGCGTTTCGATAATTAATTTTTAAATTTAAAGGAGGCTTCCCGTATGATCTAAACTCCATAATTTTAGTTTTTTCGTTATTAATTTCTAAATTATGATTTTGTAACCAAAGCGTTACTAATTCCAGGGTTTCGTTTGTTATTTGACTCATATTACCAACACTATTACTTTTTATTAAAATTGATATATCGTCGGCAAAAAGTACAGGTTGTACAGATTCGCTAATCAAAAATTTAGGTAAGTCGTTTATGTAGGCTAAGAATAGCATACATCCTAAAACGGTCCCTTGTGGTATAGAGCACGTTAAATCCATGATCTCCGACTGTATTGTTTGGATTACAGTTGTATCCATATCATGATGCAGGATTTCCACGATTTGTTTCCTACTGTTGAGGTAAGACTGAAACCAAAGGTACGCCGGACCTCGTATACCTGAATTATATAGTTTCTGAAGCAATATACTGTACGACACCCTATCGTATGCCCTTGTCATATCAAGTAACAAACCTATAGAATATGCTTTATCATTGACATGTTGAATGGCCATTTGAATGAATTTAAACACTGCGGTAGTGGTGGATTTAGATTTTCGGAAACCATTTTGGCAATCATCCAATATCTTTTGCTTTTCAAAAAAATTGTTTAAGCGAATGAGCATTGCTTTTTCATAGACCTTGGAGAACGCGGGTAATAGGGCTATTGGCCTATAATTGTTAAGGTTGGTTTTGTCTCCTTTTTTGTAAAGGGGTTTTACAATTGACATTTTTAATTGGTCAGGAAAGGAGCCAACGGCAAAGCTTTGATTTATTAAAAAACTCAATGGTGACGAAAGTGTTTCTGCGCATTGTTTAATCAATACAGGGGGTATGCCATCCATGCCACAGCTATATTTGTTTTTCATTGATTTTATTATTTTATTAATTTCTTTGCTATCTACTGGACTAAGATAAATAGAATTTATTGTCGAGCAAGCTGTTGGCAATGTATTTAAATTATTAGAAGCATTAGATACGTTTTCGCCTATACTCGTAAAATATTTATTAAATAGATTACATATGGTTTTTGGACATACTATTTTTTTATCTTTTATTTTTAGGGTTATGTTTTTATGTCTATTATCTTTAGTTTTACCGGTTTTATTATTTATAATTTTCCACATAGTTTTTGTTTTATTTTCTGAATTTGACATTTGTGATATAAACTGTTTCTTTTTTGATATTTGAATGCTACGTTTTAGAGTTTTTGAATATAGTTTGTAATATTTTCTTATAACGTTACTATTAGTTTCATTCAAAATTATTCGTAATATTCTTTTATGTTTACAAGATATTTTTATGCTTGGTGTAAGCCATCCTTTCATGATTTTATTTTTAATAAATATAATTTGTTCTGGAATGTGCTCATTTAATAATGAAATTATTATATTAATAAAAGACTCGTAATTTTCATTTACTGTTTTTGTATTTTTTAAGTATATGTCCCAATCTATTTTTACTAATGAATCTTTAAAGTTAGATATATTTTGTTTTGAAAAAAATCTTTTCTTTACTTTCCAATTATTTATAATATTATTTTTATTAAAAGTTTTTAAAGTTATGTTAATAGATCTGTGGTCTGATATTCCGTAATCTTTAACATAACAATTTTTAACTGCGTCTTTTCGATTTGAAAAGAGCAAGTCAATACAAGAGCTTGTTGTTTTAGTAACGCGAGTTGGTTCATTTATCTGCTGGTAAAAATTATGTGATAACATTAGGTTATTTAAATCTGTTGCATTTTTATTTTTGCTTAATGTGTTAATATTAAAATCTCCACCGATCAAAATGTGCTTAGACGATTCTTTTAAATTTAATTTGCTCAACAATTTTACCATTTGTTCAAAAAATATATGAATGTGGCGATCCGCTCTATATATAATTATGATAAGACAATTCAAATCTGGAATCTCAAGGGCACATAGTTCAATTACAAATTCTACAGAAAAATTAACAATGTCCACCCTCTCTATAAACTCTATATTTTCTATTATAAAAATTCCGACTCCGCCACCTTCATGATGTTTCCTGCAAAATCGGGACGCAAGCTTGTATCCCGGTATCAAGATGGATTCACAGAAATCTTCATGCCTCCATAACTCTGACAAGCACAGTACATCTATCCTATACTCTAGCAGTAATTGTTCAACCAAATCAACTTTATTTCCAATACTTTGTATATTTTGATAAGTTATGGTAAAAGGGATATCACCGCCATTTTCATTGGGCTTAACGAAATGTTTTAATAGATTTTTCTTTAGCACTTTCTTGGAATTTAAGTTTATTTCCCGATGATGTCGGCTTTTCTGCACTCTGTTGTTGTGATGTTGTCTGAGCGCAAATCGGCGAACGCATCCTGTCACTCTTCTGTGTGAACTTTTCAGCAACTTGATCTACAACTGCTATAAATTCTTTACCGTTAATAAATAATTTATTATACTTGATAATTGCGTGATCTCCTCTTTTCCGCGCTATTTGTAATTGATTTTTTAGCTCGTTACGTTCATGCAAAGTTTCTCCCGTTAAGAATTGTGTGATAGTCAATCCGGTGCTCTTTAGACGTCTAGAATTATCTAACATAAATTTAGTCATTCGTTTGCTTATGAATTCAATTGCCACTGGTCTTTTTTTTTCCATGTTTTCCTATACGTTTCATATCTTCTACATATGGATCTATACTAATATTCATGATCTCATAGATAGCACGGCAGACGCTGTTGTTTAAGTCGATTTTAGATTCGCTGTCATTCTCTGGCAAGCCATATAGTACAATTTTTTTGTTGTTATCTAGATTTCTTAGTTGTTTTTCGATATTGTTAATTTTAATGTCTATACGTTTCAAGTTTTCTGTAATTTGTTTTTGTTCAACTTTTGTCTGTTCTACGTCATTTTGTAATCCTGTTATTATCTTATTTACTTCTACATATATTGTATTTTTAACTTCCTGTAATATAGCGATTTTCATTTTCTCAAGCTTTTTATCTAGCAATAAACTTATATTTTCTAAAGTTAAATCACTTTTTTGGGGATTTGTTTCATTCAGCTGTGTGTGTCCCGATATTTCATCTATTGACATGTCATTTTCATTGAAGGACTGCTCTATTAATGGTTTATTTTTAATTTTATACCTCTGAGTTATATTTAATTCAGAAGGCGACAAAGTAATAGTCTCTGTACGGTCCTGTGTAGTAGCTCTTACTGGGGTGCTATCTTTATTGTTTTTAGGCATTTTACATATACAAACTTGACATCTCCAGGTCTTTTTGTGGTCTATTGTCATTGTATTGTAGAATCGCTTCTCTGATATATTTGCGCAATCTAAGTCGTAATTTTCATTACACAAAGAACATTTTATAAACCTTCTATCCGGTATAATCTGTCTACACCCAGCACACTGCATCTTGTAGTCACAGTTGTTTTCTGTTATTATTGCAGACCAACGCCCTCTCTCGCAGTGTAATTATGATAAAGTATGTATTAGAAATGGATACCGATGTCTCGGAATTTGTACTTACTATGGCTAGAGATATTTACTATGGCTAGAGACATATTTACAACACATATTTGTACGTGTATGTCGTGTCGATGCTCTAAATTCTGTCTCTCTTTCTTACCCATAATAAATGTATGAAACCGACACGCCACGACATGTTAATATGTTTCTGACTTGAGTCCAGTCATATTTGTATTCTATGAGATTCTATGTCCATGTTTTCCAAACAATCATAGACAAGACTGACAATAGACATCTGACATTACACTGACATTTGAGTGACCACAAACAAAAGTAGTCTTTCCAAAGTTTGTGTGTGAACATGGCGGTCGGTAAAAATAAGGGCCTCTCGAAAGGCGGCAAAAAAGGTGTGAAAAAGAAGATGTAAGTCTGCAATAAGTGTACAAATCGCTCATTTATTATATTATCTTTCTAAAAAATAACAAACACGCTGAGCGGAAGTTGTGATGGATGAAATTATTTGAGATACAAGTTGAATGTCTCGTGTCAATTTATAGTGTACTTTCGCTATATCCTGTTGTTGGAAGTAAATCATGTTCGTTTGTTGCCGGTGTTCATTGATTTTGGACTTCGGTCCTCTTTAGTGAAATTCTTTAAAGTTACATTGGGAATAACAGGTAAGAACGTTTTGAGGTTAATTTCTAATGATACCGTTTCTTTTACAGTGTTGACCCTTTCACACGTAAAGACTGGTATGATGTCAAAGCCCCGTCTATGTTCACGAAGAGACAAGTGGGCACCACTCTTGTCAACCGTACTCAGGTATGTTATTGTTAAAATTATTAAAATGATAGTATAGTTTCTTCAATTTGTAAAACATAACCTCAACATGAAGCCATGGCTGTAATTTTAATATTTTTTGTCTGTAAGACGCCCTGTATTGCGGTACGCTGACGGGGTTCATGTAAGGTACACGAGTGCAATAAAATGAATTGAATTATTTTGGCCCGCAGTTATAAAACTCAGTCACGTGGTGTTTATATAGGCCTATCGAAATGAGGGTTTGTTCATTCAACATGAATCATTAAAATAAAAATATTTGTTTCTTTATAAAATGAGTAGGTTATTGAGTACCAAGTGCATTTTTCTTAGTGTTATAGTTTGCTAAAGTTGTTTGAATAAATAAAATTGGCATGCAAAGTAAAGTACCTAGAAGACTGAAAAATTAACACATGTCTTGAATTATTCATGGGATTTCTTTGGATTGTGCATTAAACTAAGGTGGGGTTTTAAACTACAAAATCAAAAACACCATAAGGAACTACAAACAATCAAAGCTCCTTTGTAGTGGACTACATTAGTCAGCATACAATCTATTTTCACCTAAAATTTACCCTCTTTCAACTTACAGGCAGCTTAAGATGTTCTTTATCTCCATACCATTTTTAAAAAAGTTGTTTAGCCTATTAGTTGTAAAACATATAAAAGACAAACTTGCTGCAAGTTATTATTTATATACTACTAGAGGTTGTGTTTCTTCAACTTTGACTTTCGTGTTAATTTTAGTTATAAAGTATCCTGTCAGGTCAAAAATTATGTGTGAAAAATTTCACCCAAATCTGTTCAGTTGTTTCTGTGTGATTGAGTAGACGACATAACAAGTAAACAAACATGCAAAGTTTTACATTTATAGTATTATTATTATTGGGATGTCTCTTATCATACAGCCAATGGTATTGTTTAACTTTGTGACAACATTGAAAATAGTTTCAAATGGCTTTATTATATTTAAAATGATGATCTTCCTAGCTCGCAATGATACATAACTGATGAAAAAGTTTGTTCCCTTTTATTTTATCTCTGATAAATCGTATAAGTTGCTTTATTAGCAACACTTCGTTGATACACATTTCAAAAGAATATTTATTTCATTCAAGGGTACAAAAATTGCTTCGGAAGGCCTGAAGGGACGTGTGTTTGAAGTATCGCTGGCCGATCTTCAAGCTGACACTGATGCTGAAAGGTAAGCTATAGAAATATTTTTATTAATAAACCTACATTGAATTTTATTTATCAGTAAACAAGATATAATGGTGCAAACACAAGGTAATTATAGACACTGTTTATTTATTTATGTATAAAAAATACATAAATAAATACTAAAATAATAATAAAATAAAGAGTGATTTAATCATGCATGTATGAGGGTACAGCTAGAGAATTAGTATAATTTGCAGATATTAGGGATCCTAATATGTCGATAACTTGTTTAGAATTATGTATAATTGTGGTACTTAACCTTTTAGTGATAAGGGACCATTTGCCTAAATATCTGCCTTACTATGGACCATCCACTTTATAGCTGCACTACCCTAGAATTAGTGATTAAAATCAAACTATAGGTTAGTAATGAATGCCTGTATATAGCTTCTGCTGGGGCCTAGGCAAATTTGCCACAAGTGTAAAAAATATGCCCCTGATTGTTTGGAGGTAATATACTTGTGAATTCTTAATTGAGTAATATTTTTACCAAATAGTTTCTTGGGCCACTTGTGCTTCTAGGGATTACTAGTGGTTTGCGAACAACTGGTAAGGGATCACTGATTTTGTTTGTTAAATCATGTAAATAACAAAAGTGTTTCATACAACCATATGATTTATTGCAGTCCAGCTATACAAAAGGTAAAAAGTGTCTTTTGTATCGTTACAAACTGCAGATATTGACGCTGTCTCATAATAAAGTGCCTCAGAGCTACATGTTCATTGGCTTTTTGTGTCATTGCAACAGTTTTTTTGTGAAATAATTTGAGGACTGGTTTTTCATTTCTATTCAAGTACATACTTGAATATATGTGAGAAATTACTGCGGTCAAAGTCTTTTTAGTCACTTTATGTTTGTATTCCACCTGGGCACCTTATATGGCTTAAGTTGTAGGAAAGCTTAATTGCAGTGGTTTGTAAGTTCAGTCTTTGATTAGAAGTAAAGCAACTTTGAAACGATCAGACATTGGGATGGTTATCAAAAATGTATTATTACTTCTCAATAGGTACTTCATAAGATTTACAGCCATTGGTCCAGACTTCATTACTAGGAATAAGCAAACTCAAATCAGCATTGCATGTGTGATACTGATGAGTTATGGCCTATTCTAATAATGATTTAGTCCCTAGCATTAACATCGGTGCTTAAATCAGAGGATATTTGAGGAAACTAACAAAATTTAAAAAAATCATATCATGTACTCAGTAGTATAGGGACTGTTTTCTGTAACTATACAATATGTGCCTATTTTGCATGGGAGATTTTATGACAAACTTACATTATTGATTTATTTAACAGGTCTTTCCGCAAGTTCCGTCTGATCGCTGAAGATGTGCAGGGACGCAATGTCTTGTGCAACTTCCATGGCATGGACCTAACCACGGACAAGCTCCGGTAAGTGCAAAATGATAATAATATTATCCATAAATCATGTAGTTTAATGCATAAAATAATATAATAAACTATTTTTATTTATCTATCCTTTACGATTTTGAAATATAAAATTTCTGGCTATTACTTCTATGGCTGGGCTATTGTAACTATTTACAAAATTGCGCACAGTGCCACAAAGTTAAGATATATTTGGCAAAAATAAAAAATTTGAACGGGCATTTTTTTTAATTAGGATGAGTATTTTACAATGCAATACAATAACTTTATTGTACACCCCAAAAAAACGTTGAACATTAAGTTAGTTTCATTGTCTGTAAAAATTCAGTCTTATTCTTCATTAGACATAAGATCCTTATTTTAGACCAAATACCTAAATTGGCAGAAAACAAGGATAGATTAGTATCCCCGGTTACACAACTTTATAATTACACTGATAGACACTAATTTTTGATCTATGAATTCTAGAATATAATAGAATGAGAAGAAGTCAAAAGAAAATATATACAGCCGAACACAGAACCTCCCCCTTTTTTGAAGTCTGTTAAAAATTATACTTTGTGAATTAGGATATTTGCAGCCCAGCTATACAAAGGTAACCATATGGTCTTTGTATCGTTTCAAGCTGCAGATATTGAAGCTGTCACACAATGTAGTGCCTACGTTTATTTTATTCATAGGCCATTTGTGTCATTGCTACATTTTTGTTCTTTGGCATTAGAAACTATTGTTTTCGTACGAGTTAGCCTTTACCTCTTTAAATCTCTCAGTTAGGTGTTTGATGGTACGAGATTCAACAAAGGAAAACACTTTTAAAAATCACAAGTACTATGTAGATCTCCTTTTAATCATATTCTACTTTGAAAGTTCATAATTGTAATATATGTAAAGTACTCACTGATCTCAAAAACCACTTCATCACTAAATGGATAGTGGGAATGGAAACCATTCTGTTTGTTAAAGAACTTTTTCAATGAAGGTTTTATTTAAGTATAATACAAACTTGAGAGCCAAAACTAATAGTTTATAATAGTGTGATTAGTTCTGAAATACTTATTCTATGAAAATTTCAACTATCTGTTACTTTCATTATTTACATGCCTAGAGAGAGCAATCCAAATAAACCACGCAAAGAAAACGGCTAATGTTACGCACAATGTGTGCGTGATTCTAATGTCAGATTTGAACCATGAGCGTACCCATGATACGATACGATATGTAGTAGATATTATTTTCGGTGTTTTCTTGCAGTTAATAGTTTAGTAGGGTATGTAATCAAAGCTGTGAGACCACTTAATAAAATTGTTAATTTCTGTCTGAGAAGTGATTTATTTTATTTTATTTATTTTTCTTTATCTAAGTTCTTCTATAACAATTTAAAACCACACTCAAAAATGTTTATTCCACCCACAGATGGATGGTAAAGAAATGGCAAACACTGGTAGAAGCCAACATTGATGTGAAGACGACCGATGGCTACCTTCTGCGCGTCTTCTGCATCGGTTTCACGAACAAAGACACTCTCAGCCAACGCAAGACCTGCTATGCTCAACACACGCAGGTTTGTCATGGTTTTTAAAAAATATTTGTAGAATATAGTTGTGCCCTGTTGCATCACATCTTTTTCTGCGAATATGAATGCTTTGCTATGAACCCGGCTCGTCCTATCAGTTGGCTATTGATAACCGAAAGTTGCTACTTCAACGATCGCAGCCGAACGCGCCAACCACTTGCGCCATCGAAATCCATTGATATGATCGACTCATTCATGATATTAAAATGGGTGCGTGTACTTATGTAGGCGCGTGAGAAGTTGTCCTTCTTTGGCATCGTTTAAAATTAGTTTTTAATTGCATGCAAATAATTAATTACAATAAATTAATAAAAAGTCTGGAAAAGGACACAGTCAATAAAGTTCAGTTTTAATTTGAAAAAATAAATAAATAATCAAAATCTTCAATTAAAATCGCTACTGAATATAATTTATTAGAACATATGTGATTTGCACTTGTATGAAACTCAAACACGTATTCCCAATATACAAACTAGAAACATGTGGATAAATATTATAAATATGAATACCTATAACTGTTACTTTATTACAATAATAACATAAAAGTAACATTGAAAAATAAAGATGTGGTTTTTGGTACTACTACACCAATGGTCAAGAGATGGCGCTGTAGTCTCCTGAATCGCGCTTTGGTTCCGTTGTTCCAGATTAATAAATACTTTTGATAGGCCTTCACAATGCAGTCGTTAGCACCCACTAAATAGAGATTCTATTTCTATTTTGTTGGTAGATTTTCTTAATGTGCGGTAAACACAAAAGTAACAACATGAAGTTGGACGCTAAAGCGACCAACTTCATGGTGTTAAAATTTTGTGTTACAGTGATGCGCGCGCATCTTAAAATTTCACTCTCATAATTTTTTCATAACGCGCCTAAAGAAGTATAACTTCAATAAAAAATTCTTTCAAACAAAGTTTTACTAGAAATTCGACACGGCCATTAGGACCGCGGTAGCTAATATAATATAAGGTAATGGTCCGTGCATCCGCCTGGATAGCAGAGGGTGCGGGTTGGAGTCCCGTCTGCTGCCCAGTCTGCATTTAAACGTCTACCATTTACCTTAAAAAGAAAATATGTATATATAATAAATTACTCACTTAAACTATTTCATTTCCTTAGGTTCGCGCTATTCGCAAGAAGATGTGCGAGATCATCACCCGTGACGTCACCAACTCTGAACTCCGCGAGGTGGTGAACAAACTCATCCCCGACTCCATCGCTAAGGACATTGAGAAGGCCTGCCACGGAATCTACCCGTTGAGAGATGTGTGCATCAGAAAGGTAAAATATCTAGTCCCTAGTTGTACTCTTGTAATCTGTGATTCTAATGAATTAAAGGACGTTTAAATGGAAAAATCCTATGGAAAAGATTTTAATATGTAATATTACTATGAAGTTGTGGTAAATAGTGATTAATTGGACATATTGTTAAATATGTGGCCACTTAAATGAGGTTTTTTTTATATAGAAATTTACATGATGACACACCTAGCTCGCAATGATACATACATGATGAAAACTCATGTTCCCTTTTGATTTATCTCTGACGATTAATTTCCATTTATTCCAACGCATATTAACCTTTATGTGGCCACTAATAAAGTCCAAATTTCCAGGTCAAAGTGCTGAAGAGACCCAGGTTTGAGATCTCCAAGCTCATGGAATTGCACGGTGAAGGTGGCGGTGGTAAGAGAGGAGAGGCCGGAGACAAATCTGAAAGGCCCGAGGGATACGAGCCGCCCGTGCAAGAGAGCGTTTAAATAAATATATGTTATAAAAAGGAGTGTTTTCTTGTTTCATTTCACACGAGTCTCTAGGGAAATTGATTAAACATTTCTCCATTCACTATTGGTTTGAAATTTTGTTGCATCGTATTTTGATATTAATTTAAATGAATAGCAGGTATAGGTCGCGGCAAACTTCTTAACCAACGTCCAGAGGCAAGGAACACTGCGCAGTAGCAATTTTAAGGACAAATCGTCTACTGCGCAAGTTTGTCTGATTTTGTTGAAGAAGTTTGCCGCTATCTCGGAAAATTTAATAAAGGTAATCTGTAGCCCTAGGACGAACTATTATCGAATTCGAATAGTTTGAGAGTACGAAATATCAATGTCAAATTTTGTATGAAAACTTGAACAGCAGCGCCACAAAGTACGTAACGAGAACAAACTATTCGAATTCGATATTGGTTCGTGCTAAGGGTACAGATCATTGTCTACACGCACGCACGCAACATTAAAATATGGATATTGTGACAGTAATTTATTTGTTTAGTACCTACTACCTACTTTGAATTACAATTATTATAAATAAAAGTATAATTACAATTAATTATTACTAAATTATAATTGCAATTCGAGAAATGTAAATAATTCCTAAGTGCTCATATTAGCAATTTCGGCGAACGAAAGTAATACACGAGAAAAAAAAATGCAAGCACGTAAGTACTCGCATTCGCAGCTGATACTATGATGCGTCCACCGACGTAACTATATTAGGGGATCCGTAAAGTGGGGCTAATTGGAACATTTATTTATGAAATAGGTGTAAATACAAAAAACTGCAGTTTATCAATATAGATCGTTATTTTTGGGTACATCTCACAATTTTTCTAAATGACTACTATAACTGAACATTTTCTGTGAATAGATCTTTAGATACATGGTTTTAAAGGTGCCGTTCCAAAAATCGCATTGATGAGGTTATTTGGTATCTGACTTAATTGCTTTTGGTTTTCTTATTTTTTGAGACTGTGTCGAAAAGAAACCAATGAGCGATATTTGAAAGGGTTAAAGAAAAAGGAGCTGTCTTCAGTTTATGTGAATTTTACTTCATACCGTCACTAAAAAGGTGAAAAACTACCATAAATTATTTTGACGTAATGATAATCTGTTGCTACTTTGGGGTTATTTGGAATATAACGTTAAATATCCAATGAGTTTTTAACAAGAATGAAGCAATATTTGGAATATTTAAGAAGTCTTTGCTATTTGATCCCCCCTGATTAAAAAAAGTATATCATCGGTTGGTTTACCAGATTGAAGACTTTAGAGAAAATTATATGGGCAGGCACAAATAAATAAAAAATGAACAATAATTTACTTAAATATCTATTTTAATATTATCAGATTTAATAATTTACTTACTTATGAAATATATTTAATTAATTTTATTTAATCACAATTTTTCTTAATATTATTTTTTATAGTTATTTTACAATATCTAATTACTGACTTATCTAATTATTATGTAAGTGACTACCTACATATTAATAATAGGCAGGTCAGTAATTAGTTCTGCAAAATTTTTGGTATATTCGGACATTTCGGACCATGCTTGCGTATCTGTAGTATAAAATAAAATATTTCGTAAAAATATAGTGCCCCAAAACATCTTGTAAAAATGAGCAATTGAGGTTATTTGAAACGATGAATAGAATACTTAGCAAAGTTTGACAGACTTTCAAGGGGCTATTTAAAACAAAGTTTCAATTAACCCCAAAACAGAAACAAAAAAGCCCCATAATGAAAAAACCGAATAGCATAGCAGGCCGTGAGAGATAGAAAAAAGCTAATTCAATCACTGTAATGCAGATGAAAAACACTATTTCGCAATCTATTTCACTCTTTACATACCTTTCTAGATGTGGTGTACCAGACGAAAGTTTTCGCACCACGAAATACACCCAAATTTTACGATTTTTTGAATGAATGACGCACTGCTCAACGTTCATCGCCAATACCCTCCAAAATTCCAATTTGACATTGACATTAAATGTTGTTCTATTGCCAGGAGGTAAAATATATTTCCTGTTATATGCAGATAAAAAAATATTCATGTGCAAATCTTTTTTTTCGCAAATTCCAAATAACCTCGTGATATCCAATTGACCCCCTTTTACTTCGAAAATACTATATTTGATAGAAACAAAGTTGGTAACCCTACCCACAACAGACTCGCAAACTACGTCGGTGGACGAGTTTACAGATTTGACAGCATTATAGCCCTTCGCGCGTCGTTCGGCAGATTCTCTATAGGACAGAAACTTGATAAGGCAGAAGCTGGATTGGGCAGAATCGTGTTTTGGCAGTTGTGGTACACTCAAAAGAAAACTTACTTAGTTATTTAAAGACATTTATTATTATTGCATATTATTTGAATATTCCCCGTTTAGAAGCACTTTTATTTATTCTACTTAACACAAGATAGCCGTCTTAAACACTCAATTATGTTATAGTCCTGTTTTAAAAGTCCGTTTATAATTTTATCAATGCTACAATTTTTTTGTACCATAGAATTTTGTCGCCGCTTTTCTTTTTGATAAATTTCTTTTCTTGCAATTTTTCGGTCTTGAAATGCTGCTTCCTTTTTAATTTTCTGTATAAACAGAAAAATTGATGGCCGTTCTGTAATGCGAGCGTTGATGCGTCTATGCCATCCTTCGACCGCATTCGTCGTGCGAAATTTCTCTTTATAGCAACTAAAGGTATCAGAAGTGATAATCTCCATCCACTGCCTTCGGAAATAATCGTTGAATTTATTAAATTCTTCGGATTCAGGACCCATGTAAAAAAGCTCGAAATATCCTTCTGGTATAAAATTAGGAGGAAGTAATGCCAGCTGGATGTATAAAAGTGTCATATTTTTTTCTTCGTCGTCAATTTTTACTTTGACGCTATCAAAGTTAAGCTTCTTGCTCATTTTCCACACCGCATTAGAAAAATGGTAAAAGCACCCTGATACCTTTACTTCAGGAAATATTGATTTCACAGCGTTAATTGCGGCTAGCTCATAATCGCATTTGTAATATTCAATATTAATTGAAAATTGATGCTTTAAAATTGTAAATAATCTTTTATAGGTTTCTTCTTTCTTGTCTGGTAATAATATGTACAACAATGGTACAAAATTAACATCATCATCTTCTGCTAAATCGACATGTAACGTATATAATTGATAAAAAAGTTTGGGCACAACTCTAAAAGTACCATCGCCGTAAAACCTGCTGAATTTTTTAAAATATTTTTTTGCTAACGGCGTTCCGACAATTAGAATTTTGTCTTCATTTCCACAATCATATAAAAAAAAATCCTTGACGAGGACGTCCGGCAGTCTTATATCTTCACGTCTTTTAAATGTAAGAGTCTTGCAATGTAAGTAGTCTAATCTTGCCTTTCTCAGCATATCTTTCACGCTTTCATATTTTGGTAAATATTCCTTTTGAACATCATGCTTTATGCTGTTAATATAGTCTTCGAAAACTTTTGGTATAGGTTCCAAATTGAGACATACTTGCTTTTTACATTCATCCATAATTTCATCAATAACGTTTTTATTTTGTTCGGAACACATGAATGATTTGCTTTTCTTAAAATTTGATCTTTTGAATCCAGCGTGATTGATGTATTACATTCCGTTTTATTGTAGCATCTCCAATTACTTGTACCAGATTTGTTTTTCATTACGAAATTATAGCGAAAACCGTCGTGTAGAAGCACTGGCTTACCTCGTTTACTGCGAATAATTTTCAAATTTTCACTTTCTGTACGTGGGCCCGCATCATCCATCATAATAAATTAAATTCAATTATATCTCAGATAATACAATGAAAAAATACTGACTTGACTATAACAATGTCATTGTAAAATATATAATTTGTCATGTCACCTTAAACCATAAGTGGCCATTATTAATGATAAGATAAACCAAAGAGTTTACATCATAATAATATTATTAACATCCTGACTGTACTCTGCCAAAACACGATTCTGCCCAATCCAGCTTCTGCCTATCAAGTTTCTGTCCTATAGCGAATCTGCCGAACGACGCGCGAGGGATTATAGCGCATTATGCGGCATAATGCTTAAGGTTGAGTGTTCCAACTACAGCAACGCTTCGCACAATTGAGCACTCTCAAAATGTGCAATCGTACCAACTTAGAGACAGAAAATTAACAAGTGTTTTTTCTTTAAGTTGGCATTGATCGAAATGTTTTATTTATATGTTATCGTTAGTAATAATATTTATTGTTGAAAAATTATTAAAGCTTTCGTTTCATTAAATAGTTTTTTTTAAATAATCAAAGTTCATTCAAACTGTTAAAAAATAAATATAAGTATGGATGAAGGAACAAACGTTGACTTTTTTTTTTCAACACTGAACTTAGCGCACTCTGCTGGTGCATTTGAAAACTAATTCACGTTCCAATTAAGCATCAGCATAATTGGGCATTGTGCCGCACTGAGTCGCATTATGCTCTGTAATTGGAAAACATACGGTATCTGCGGATGCGTCGACGTTGAGTGCGAGCATTAATGCGGAAAATGAAAAAAAAAATATATTAGAGTAAATTTATTTACAATAATTTTTTTGTCAGACAGTTCATAAATATTATTTACAAAAGGTTCATTTAGCATTATAACTTGGCATTCGAAGTGCAGACAGTGCGAAACTTGCAGCCTAGAAGCTAAATCAAGTCGATGTGAATGTATGTTACGACTAAAATTGCATTTTCATTAAGGATTGAATAAAATTTATTGTTATAAGTACCTAAAAAAATATAAAAATTTCTGTACATACAGTACAGCATGATCGCATAGATAAGACAATAATAAAATATTTTCATTTAAAAGAAGCAATAGGTATGTATCACAATGAAATATTTCTTGCTACAGAAAGAAAATTAAAGTAGTTATTTAATATTATACAATAGAATAAAAGAATTACACAAGTATTTTTCTTTGAGCTTCATAAGTGGCGAAAGTCTGAATTTGAATGAAAACTTATTTTTTCTAAGTTGTAAACGCGGATTTCTTATAAACTCTCTCAATTTCTCTAAAATATTTACGTCATAGTACAACGTAATTTAATAAAAGATAATATTTTTTAAAATGATTTTTTTAAAGGTAAATGCAACAAAGGAAAACGCTCTCCACAAAGAACTTTAAAAAATGCTCCAAAAAATCTATCATAGACAATCAATTCATATTTACAAAGCATGCACCATCCAATTATTTATAATAAAATTACAAGCACCCTGAATTATCTTATTCTAATAAAGTACCTAGCTAAGTAGTTCAACATAACGTAATTTATCTTTTGAATAAAAAGACTAAAATATTGCGGCATGCCCAATTTTGTATCAAAATATTAAACAACACAACGTTATTCGCCTGCCAAGAACATAAATAGCTTTAAATCGTGCTGTTACTGTGTTCTTTCGAGTTTTATGCTGATGCTTCACGTAGCTTTTTGTTTTGCCTTTGCCTTTGACGTACGGAGTAAAAAAAAAAATTTTAGGGGCCTCCGCTCCTTCGTTGACCCCATGCCTCTAAATCAAAATATATACTTCCGGACCGTCATAACACATCCGTGTTATTATAAGTTACAGCGGTCTGTTGCAAAATACCTATAATATGTTTATGGTTCAGAAATATTTTTAAAAGACACGAAAAGATGGTGATAAACGGCGTAGATAATAACTTTTTGCTCAAGTAACATGCATTTTTAGCTAGGGCCCGTAAATATTTTATAATGCTAGGTGGGTCGATAACTGTGTCCGGAAGTGTAGTTATAGCAATCAGTTTATTATTCTTTGGGTCAGACTTCATGCAGACACCAAATATTTATCCTAAAACGCTCAGACAAAAAACATCTCAACATTCTTTATTCGAAAAGTTTTATTTTTCACAGAGAAAACTATTTTTTTTTCTTCATTTAGCACGAGATCACGACGCCTGTTCGATCTTCAGTTCGGTTTTAATTGGCACTTTTACGATGGCGCATGGTTCAGATTCAGATTCTGAAAACAAGCGCGAGAAATAAACAGTGTAGTCTAAGCAGGTTGCCTGCTTTTTCTCGCGCTTTGTTTTCTGAGTCTGAATCTGAATCTGAATCAGGAGTGCAATCTGGCCGTACCCTTCGACTACACTGTTTATTTCTCGCGCTTGTTTCGAAATCTGAATCTGAATCTGAGTGCACTCTGGCCGCACCCATATGCGGCATAATGCTTAATGTTGAGTGTTCCAACTACAGCAACGCTTCGCACAATTGAGCACTCTCAAAAGTGATGCTTACGTGTGATGCGTGCAATCGTACCAACTTAGAGACAGTAAATTAACAAGTGTTTTTTCTTTAAGTTGGCATTGATCGAAATGTTTTATTTATATGTTATCGTTAGTAATATTATTTATTGTTGAAAAATTATTAAAGCTTTCGTTTCATTAAATAGTTTTTTTTAAATAATCAAAGTTCATTCAAACTGTTAAAAAATAAATATAAGTATGGATGAAGGTACAAACATTGACTTTTTTTTTTCAACACTGAACTTAGCGCACTCTGCTGGTGCATTTGAAAACTAATTCACGTTCCAATTAAGCATCAGCATAATTGGGCATTGTGCGGCACTGAGTCGCATTATGCTCTGTAATTGGAAAACATACGGTATCTGCGGATGCGTCGACGTTGAGTGCGAGCATTAATGCGGAAAATGAAAAAAAAAATATATTAGAGTAAATTTATTTACAATATTTTTTTTGTCAGACAGTTCATAAATATTATTTACAAAAGGTTCATTTAGCATTATAACTTGGCATTCGAAGTGCAGACAGTGCGAAACTTGCAGCCTAGAAGCTAAATCAAGTCGATGTGAATGTATGTTACGACTAAAATTGCATTTTCATTAAGGATTGAATAAAATTTATTGTTATAAGTACCTAAAAAAATATAAAAAATTCTGTATATACAGAACAGCATGATCGCATAGATAAGACAATAATAAAATATTTTCATTGAAAAGAAGCAATAGGTATGTATCACAATGAAATATTTCTTGCTACAGAAAGAAAATTAAACTAGTTATTTAATATTATACAATATACCAACAATCTTTCAAAATTATACGCTTCGCTACTAGTAAAACGTAGTGGAATTCATTTTCACGTTACAAATATAGATTCATGCCGTAATGAGGGCTATCGTTTTTTGGCTCACCAGATGGCGCCACTGTTGAGTGAGGTCCTGAAGTGTAACTTTTAAAGTTAGTAAACACGCTCGTGATATCAAAGTTTACATTTTAATACAAAAAAATCGTATCTTAAACATAATCGCCTATGCCACAGTGTTGCGCAGTCCCGTTTTGTTCGGAAAAAAGAAGGACAATATTTTTTCTTAGCTCCGTAACTCATATTTGCCATAATAAGTCTGATTTATTACCAAATATTCACAACTATTATTTTAATTAGAAAAAAACTGCGTAGTCAACCCGCAAGCTATAACATTTGACATTTCGGAGACCTCACGGAACACAAGCGCCTCTAGCGGCGGTTTCAGACGCGATAGCCCTCATTACATTTGGTCGTATTCGGGTGCATGAAAGACATTGCTCGAATTCGGACACCAGAACCTATATTTACACTTGAATATGGGTTGGAAGACGGTGTTGGGTAAACAAAAGGAAATCTACCCGAATAGGGGCGTACTCGACTCCGTTCATTTACACTTACTCGTTTACCCGAATTTCATTGGCACTCATATTCGGGCTAACGACCAAGAGTTATCGCGCCATAATACAAGAAGGTAGCCCTTTTGATTAATTCTAAGGGTACGGCCACAGTGCACTCAGATTCAGACTCAGAAAACAAGCGCGAGAAATAAACAGTGTAGTTAAAGCAGGGTGGCCATAGTGGCCGCAGGCAACCTGCTTAAACTACACTGTATATTTCTCGCGCTTGTTTTCTGAGTCTGAATCTGAAACTGAGTGCACTCCGGCCGTACCCTAAGGGTGCGGCCAGAGTGCACTCAGATTCAGATTCAGATTTCGAAAACAAACGCGAGAAATAAACAGTGTAGTCGAAGGGTACGGCCAGATTGCACTCCTGATTCAGATTCAGATTCAGACTCAGAAAACAAAGCGCGAGAAAAAGCAGGCAACCTGCTTAGACTACACTGTTTATTTCTCGCGCTTGTTTTCGAAATCTGAATCTGAGTGCACTCTGGCCGCACCCTAAGGTTACAAACTTATGTATTTACTGATACTTAAATTACACAAGTATTTTTCTTTGAGCTTCATAAGTGACGAAAGTCTGAATTTGAATGAAAACTTATTTTTTCTAAGTTTTAAACGCTGATTTCTTATAAACTCTCTCAATTTCTCTAAAATATTTACGTCATAGTATAACGTAATTTAATAAAAGATAATATTTTTTTGAAATAATTTTTTTAAGGTAAATGCAACAAAGGAAAACGCTCTCCCCAAAGAACTTTAAAAAATGCGCCAAAAAATCTATCATAGACAATCAATTCATATTTACAAAGCATGCACCATCCAATTATTTATAATAAAATTACAAGCACCCTGAATTATCTTATTCTAATAAAGTACCTAACTAAGTAGTTCAACATAACGTAATTTATCTTTTGAATAAAAAGACTAAAATATTGCGGCATGCCCAATTTTGTATCAAAATATTAAACAACACAACGTTATTCGCCTGCCAAGAACATAAATAGCGTTAAATCGTGTTGTTACTGTGTTCTTTCGAGTTTTATGCTGATGCTTCACGTGGCTTTTAGTTTTGCCTTTGCCTTTGACCTTTGACGTACGGAGTAAAAAAAATAATTTTAGGGGCCTCCGCTCCTTCGTTGACCCCATGCCTCTAAATCAAAATATATACTTCCGGACCCAACATCCGTGTTATTATAAGTTACAACGGTTTGTTTCAAAATACCTATAATATGTTTATGGTTCAGAAATATTTTTAATAAGACACGAAAAGATGGTGATAAACGGCGTAGATAATAACTTTTTGCTCAAGTAACATGCATTTCTGGCTAGGGCCCGTAAATATTTCATAATGCTAGGTGGGTCGATAAATGTGTCCGGAAGTGTAGTTATAGCAATCAGTTTATTATTCTTTGGGTCAGACTTCATGCAGACACCAAATATTTATCCTAAAACGCACAGACAAAAAACATCTCAACATTCTTTATTCGAAAAGTTTTATTTTTCACAGAGAAAACTATTTCTTTTTCTTCATTTAGCACGAGATCACGACGCCTGTTCGATCTTCAGTTCGGTTTCAATTGGCACTTTTACGATGGCGCATGGTTTCTGCCTTCTTCCGATTAACAATACGAATAGACATATTCCTGATACGAAGAGGGCGGCTATGCTTGTAACGGCGAGTCCGAGTTGGACGGCCGCAGTTGAGAACGTACCGTGGTATATCAATGTGCGTAGACTTTCTGGGAGATCTTCTACTGCCTGAAAAAGAAGTTTTTCCGAATAAAATATGTTTTCAGTCCAGGATATAATATAAACTTTAAGTGTGTCAGTTTCATCCAATTCAAAGGACATTGTTCAGCGTCCATACATAGTTAGCCTAAGAACCAACAATCATGAAATATTATTTTCTAGGTTCAAAATCGTAAGTAAATGACTGTAAAAACAAAGATTATTGACGGACACTTCTGAGAACTTAAATTATTAGGAAACTTAATTTTTTTTTGAGGTTATGTTTAATATCAATGAAACATAGGTCCACCCCTGAATTTAGTATAAACTCAGTATTAAGTGAATTAATATTACAACTAATTCATTTTATTCGGTGTGATTTTAAAGAATAACTATTAGGTTTTAAACTTGGTTAGGTAGGAATCATGAATAAAATAAAAACTGTAGTTTTGCTTCTTATTTATTGACTATTTTTCACATAATTGTATCATATTGTTTATTGTATTTATTTGTATATCACATATTGTGTAAATACGCAGCGTGAATGTGTATCATTTGTTCTTGAATAATTTGGCAGTATGATCCTCTCAGGCTGTTGTGGCACAGGTTCACTAGCACTTGGTAATAAGGGCTCTGCTCTTCGGTAACATCGATGGCATATTAGATAGCCGAAATAGTTAAATTAAAGGAAAAACAATCGCAAATAAACACACACAACAGGTAATCCGAAACGAGAACACACCACAGCAACGCACTTTCCGGTATATAATACTACTCTTTGGAATGCACGAATGCCACAGATTACTACGAATGCAAACTGCATGCACCACAACCACAGAGTAACAGTTTTATGCCGGCCCTTCACTTGACAACTTTTTGTCCTTGTCATGCTTAATAAGGAATGAAAAGGACAGACTGATGTCATGTTTTAAAATAGCAAATACGAATAGCCATGTGAAGTGCCGGCATTAAGAAGAAAGAGTGGTTTGTTTGCAGCGCTGCCATAGATTATACACATAAAATGATATTTATTGTCTCAGATTATTTTTAACTTTTTAATTTAGCTTACTTAACTGGAAGTGTCCGTCACAATCTAAATACTGATAATTATCGCAAAAAATATACTAAGAATTATCATAAATGCCAAATTGGTGTTGGTTCTTAGGTCAATTTTAACATTATCCTTTGTACAGCCGTTTTTTTTGTGATTGAGTTTACACCCCGGAAAATATCTTGAACATAAACCATAGACAACGGAGCCTGCGCAGTAGCAATTTTATATACAAAAACGTCTAATGCGGAAGTTTGGCAACGGTTTTTCACAAGATGTTTGCCGCTACCTATTAAGTAACAAACATACGAACTTTTACATTTATAATATTAGAAGGATTAGATTATGAATACTGGCTTAGTGCAAGCCATACTCTCAAACGAAGAACTCCCTACCATGCTATGTATGTATGTTTAATATTTTAATACAAGTCGATAACGTTTGACTTTCTTTTATTTTGTATTTGTTGTGCTAAAGCTAATAGCTTAGTATATTACCATTCCAGCGAGGGACAGATAGACAGATAGCGGAAGGGTATTAATAGTTTATTTTTTCTTTGGGTACAAAAGTCAAAAAACTAAATATACTCTGGTGTCGATTTTGGGATGATTCTTTAAACCTAAACTTAGTTTGATAACAGTGATGTCGATTCTGGCATGATTCTCTAAAGCTAAACTTAAATTGACAACAGTGCATCCCCGTCATTCTCTATACAGAATGAAAAGGAGAGATTGATGTTAAATTTAGTTTTAAGTTTAGAGAATCACGCCAGAATCGACACCAGTGTATCCTTGTCATTCTTTATACAGAATGAGAAGGAGAGACTGACGTTTTTAGTTTTAAGTTTAGAGAATGTGCCAGAATCTACACCGCTATTTTCTTTTTAGGAGCAAATAAATATTCAAATGTTTTTTACCATTTCGAGCCAAGCTATTGGTAGAATCAGTCCTTGGTTCAGAAATCCTAGTGACGCCATACTTGATTTCATCACTTGCATATTGATTTGGAGACTGAAAAATAAATTTAAAATATAATTATTCAAATTATCTATAATTATTATAGGAAAGAACACTGCAATGTATGACAGGAGATGTGTAAATCTTTGTAGGACTTGGATAATATTTAGTAACCTCCACCGCACAGAAGCCTACAGTGAAATAACACTAGGTACCTTTTGGTGGCGTTGTTAGTTAGTTTGGTTAGCGGTGACCTGACAACCATCAATTTCTTATACTTTGTAAAATTTGCTTTGCTCAATATCTTGCAACAGAATTGGTGACCAAAAACTTAATATCTCTTATTCGGCCGTGTTGCAGAAGGCACGTATATCCGTTGATCCCGGCTGCATCTGCAGTCGTTAGCACCTACTATACACTCCATTAAAGGTAGTTACGGTCTGTTGTCCCTATTCCATTCATAGGGAAGGCCTGTGCCCCAGCAGTGGGGACATTAATAGGCTGATGATGATTGAAAAGGTCTTTATTAACTTACCTAGACCTCTCTAAGTGCCCAATGTTGGATGTATGTCGAGATAGTCCTGGTGTTTCTCCGGGTCTGGTTTGTGGCAACTATAATGACTATTGATCGCGGCTGCATCTGCAGTCGTTAGCACTTACTATATACTCCACCAAAGGTAGTCACGGCATGTTGTCACTATTCCATTTATAGGGAAGGCCTGTGCCCCAGCAGTGGGGACAATAATGGGCTGATAATGATGATAAGTTCCTTATTAACTTACCTAGATCTCCCTCTAAGTGCGATGCCCAACGTTGGATGGATGTCGAGATAGTTCTGGTGTTTCTCCGGGTCTGGTTTGAGGGCGGATATTATGGCCATTGATACCGGCTGCATCTGCAGTCGCTAGCACTTACTCGTTATATACTCCGCTAAAGGTAGTCACGGCCTGTTGTCCCTATTCCATTCATAGGGAGGGCCTGTGCCCCAGTAGTGGGGACATTAATAGGCTGTTGATGATGAAAATAAAAAGTTCCTTATTAACTTACCTAGATCTCCCTCTAAGTGCGATGCCCAACGTTGGATGGATATCGAGATAGTTCTGGGGGCCAATCGCCTAACGGAAATGCTTTGGAAAACGCTAATGCTTACGATTTTATTTTGTTATTTCTAGCCGCCTGAGGTATTCAAATACCTCGCGCTCTTTCTTTTTCTTTTGCATTGGTAATAACAATATCAAAAAAAATGAGCGTGAGGTATTCGAAAACCTCAGGCGGCTAGAAATAACAATATAAAATCGTAAGCGTTAGCGTTTCCCAAAGCATTTCCGTTAGGCGATTGGCCCCCTGGTGTTTCTCCGAGTCTGGTTTGAGGCCGGATATTATGGCTATTAATCCCGGCTGTATCTGCAGTCGTTAGCACTTACAGCAGTGGAGACATTAATAGGCTGTTGATGATGAAATTGAAAAAATCCTTATTAACTTACCTAGATCTCCCTCTTAGTGCGATGCCCAACGTTGGATGGATATCGAGATAGTTCTGGTGTTTCTCCGGGTCTGGTTTTAGGCCCGATATGACGGCACGGAGACGCGGGTCACCCAAGTGGAAGTGGGGGAAGGACGCGAGTGCTGGTGCTCCTGGACGGATTAAAGAAGATATCCACTATTATTAGGTATTTCTTAATTAAGTTTTCTACTTAATTTTTGAAGTGAAACTTTTCTTCGGACGGGGTGTAAATGGAAAAATCCTATGGAAAAGATGAAACGGAAATGCGCCACGAGCGTCACACGACTAGAAAACTAATTGATCTAAAGTGATAAAGATATGATATGATCTGATTAATCTATATATGTGTATGTGTGTGTGGGCTGCGTGCGCAGCTCTTGGAGCTCTCATGAAAGTTAGAGGGTAACTCGGCGAAGGCTGATACGCCACGAGCGTCACACGCGGCAATATATATATATGTTACCGGCCAAACCCGATTTCAGGACAAACTAGTTTTGCCTAGGCTAAACTGGTTCTTCCTATGCGCGATAGGATTAACTAGTATAGCCTAGTCCAAACTAATTTGTCCTAAGCCCGATAGGATAAACCAGTTTAGCCTAGGCCAAACTAGTTGATCCTGATAAAAATACGCATACTCTAGGATAAACTAGTATGGCCTAGTGTAAACATTATAGTATATCTAGAAAGTCAAAATAAATAGATAAACTGAATAAAATAATCCGTAATTGGAAAAATAATATTTTTTATTAAAACCATAATGATTCATCGTTACAAGTTATGGATAATTAGTAATACAAAGAAAAGTAAGAAAAGTTTAATTTTTCTAGTAAACTTTTCTTTAGATTTAAACACCTAGCAGTTAAATGCTTAAAAATAAATAAAAACACTAACTATAATTGCTATTTCTTCTTTCAAATGTTTTTTAATACTTGAAAAAGTATTCATTTGACATTGTGGGTTGCGTGGTTGCAACCTACAATGCGAAGAGATGGCGCTGCCTTGCAGCTTAAGGCTAGGAAAATTTCGACGCGGCGAATAGGGCCGTGGTAGCATAATGGTCAGTGCATTCGCCCGGATTGCGAAGGGTGCGGGTTCGAGTCCGGTCCGCTGCCTGGTCTGCGTGGTTTTTTTTTCTAGTAAACTTTTCTTAAAATATTTTGAGTTTACAGTGAGATGAATTGTAAAAGGTTCGAATGATTCGGAATTTCTTAAGCCGGGTAGTTACTCATTGGCGAGCTGTAACCATAACCGTTGCACGCACTGTAACCAAAAAGCATAGTGTGTACGTGGTTCGATAACCTGCTACGAGAACGGTACGCGTGCGGTTTGAAGCGAGCCAACGTTCACAACTGAGCTACTAGCGTACACACTAGAACTTCGTACTGTATCACGCATGTTACGGTAACAGATCGCTAATGCGTACCCGGCTTTACTGTCTTCCGAACTCCCGGCAACAACAAAAGAGTTAAACAAAAACCAATTACAGAAAAAACACTCCCTCCACTTTCTTCCAGCGTTCTTTTTACATGACGCGCCCTGTACAAGTCCTGACATGTTTGTTCAATTACTTTCCGCTTTGCTAAATTGGTTTAGACTAGGTCGTACTAGTTTATCCTAGAGTGTGCGTATTTATATCAGGATCATCTAGTTTGGCCTAGGCTAAACTGGTTTATCCTGTCGCGCTTAGGATAAATTAGTTTGGACTAGGCTATACTAGTTAATCCTATCGCGTATAGGAAGAACCAGTTTAGCCTAGGCAAAACTAGATTGTCCTGAAATCGGGTTTGGCCGGTAACATATATACACATAAATATGAGTGATACGTGCGTTGCTCCATTCCCCTATGCCTTATGCACCGCCATTATTTTGTATTTTATATTGTTATTAGTATTATTATGCAATGTATGACCTTATTTGAATAAAGATATATTTATTATTTATTATTTAATGATTTTTTAAGAAATTTATTTAATTTATTTAAGAAAAGAAGTTTCACTTTATATGTGTTGACCGTGCTCACAATTTTTTTAAGAAGGAAAATGATTTAGTCCTTCCTTTTTCTCTCCTTGTTGCCCAAACATTTAAAGTATAAAAAATCCTTTACAAACAACCAAAATATTAATTTTCATGCAGACTAATCGTCATTATTATTTTTATACGAGGCGAAGAAAATCACCACAAAATTCATTGTCGACAAAAAATATTTTAAATATACTTCAAAAAGGATGTTCTCAGTTTGACCTGTATGCTTGTATGTATGTAAAAGTGTTTTGATAGGTACATGATGGGTGTACCTGCATCAAAACAGAAACTGAAAAATATTATTTCTGGTAAAAAATATTCTTTAGTTATAGGTATTATGTAATGAGGGTAGTTGTATTGTAGTCGGCTACAGGGCCGGATTTAGAGGAGTAGAGGTTCGGGGCAACAAAGGAGTGGGGTCCTCTATTTTAAAATCTGATAACCTTACAATTTGATCCATCCCCTGATTGGTGACCCATCGAAATTTAGTTATTTTTGTCTCTGTTGTGGGGGCTGGCGGGCTGTGGCCCAGGGCCCTACCTGCCCTGCCCTTGATCCAGCCCTGATAAATAGGCTGATGAATCTAATGATAAAAATTCTTACCCATAGTACATGCAGTTACATTGATGACTCCCCTAGGAGGACATGTGGCGGAGTCAATTTCGCAGTAACATTGGTTCTCTGGGTTGTTGACGGGGTCGTCGAACACATTCGAAGGCAGACGGTACCGGAGTAGAGGGATGCCGTCTATCTGCGGGTAGATGGAAAAATACAAATATAAAAAAAGAACATAATTGTTTTAAAATAAATGTTAAGCCCTTATCAGTTTATTAATTTCTATGTTTTCAGCGAAATTATTTTAAAATGATACTAGTTTTAATTTTAACATGAGCCATTTGAACTGCTTATATAGGGTATTCTCTTTACCCAGTTACATAAAAATAATTTTAAAATTAAAACTACTATTGATACACTAACTAAACTTACTCAACACAAAGAAGGATAATGTACGTTTAAATCAAGGTATCATTTTAAACATTTGAATAAGTAGTTCCACTTTTATGATTTTTTAAAACTTCAAAACGCGATATCTCAAAACACTGTTTTTGTAGATAATACCCTTTTGTTTGTGACGTGCGAGATAAATACCTTTCTCAAACTTTTATTCGTTTTTGATAGAGCTATCTCTAAGATGGCTGTAAATGTTTTCTTAACAAAAATATTGCTTACCTCCACGTCTTTCTCATACACGAACGGGAGTCTTCTGCACAAGTTAGGAAAGAACACGTGAAGTTTCTTCTTTCTGTCCAGCTGTGAGGGCGGGAAAATTGATCCGTCTGTGGATTCGATGCTGTAGAGAAAAAAAAAAATTAAAAAAAAGATAAACAAATATTTTTTTGGCGCGATTTTCCCGATTGACATTTGTTTGCCGTTGATCGTGAACTGATAGGAAATACGAATTCGCAAATAATATATTATTTTTTGTATCTAACTGGTTAATGTGTACCTACATAGACAATCAAGGAACCCTTTCCCTAAGATTAAAACAAAAAGGATAGATACCGCACTAGCCTCACAAAAGTGATCCGCACCAATGGTGGTCCACGAACCTAATCGCTTTATAATAGTCACAACTTGACATACAAACGACGTACATGTGAACGTCAAAAAGAAATATTGCTAATATTTTGTGTTTATATGATAAAACAATGCCTAAGTGTGTTTTTAAAAAGTGCTCAAATTGCTCAAGAACTAAAAATAAAACCCACGGCATCACTTTTCATTCGTAAGTACTATAAAACACTACCGAGTGCAACAGGCGTTTTTTTATGTTTAAGAAAAAAAGAAAATAGAATGATTAACCTATACAGCCAGTAAAACACACACAAACAATAACAAAATGCGAACCCAGCAACGATGGGCATGCTTGCTTATCAACGTTAGTCGGGATGTCAGAAGTTTATCATTAACGCCTCGAATATTGGCGTCTCCCTATGATCGAACTAATAACGCTAATGTTCGAATCAGAACAAAACGTTTATGCAATAAGCTATTTCATTGGATACATAGGTGGCGTGATATTACAAGTAACTAGCTGACCCAGCGAACTTCGTACCACCATAAAAATAGGGGCAGGTGATAGAAGAGTGAAAATTTAGGGTTCTATGTATTTTCAATATTTGAACATAATAAAAATAAAAAAATATTGTCCAAAAAAAAGGTTTTTAGGGGTGTGTAACGTAGTGTTCTATCAATTTCCTGGGATAACATTCCTCCTAACCCATATGAGAACACTACGTTACAATAGCCAATAGTTTGAATTTTGGCGCGAAGGCGCATTGTAGGTTTCAGAACACTACGTTACAGGTGGACAAACCTTATCACTTAAGGATATGAAAAATAGATAGTAGCCGATTCCCAGACCCATAGAATATGCATATAAAATTTCATAAAAATCGGTCAGGCCGTTTCAGAGGAGTATGGTAACTAACATTGTGACACGAGAATTTTATATATAAGATAATCTAGCTATTCAAAGGGGGAACGTTGCCAGTATCTTCGGAACCTTGCCTAAAGGGACTCCTTTCAATAATATTTTTAAGTTATTATATTATATTTTTTAAGGTTTTTAGTTTAAGGTTCATTTTTCTAGTATATATATATATATCTTAAGAAAATATAACTAGAAAAAAATCCACGCGGACCAGGCAGCAGACGGGACTCGAACCCGCACCCTTCGCAATCCGGGCGAATGCACTGACCAATTATGCTACCGCGGCCCTCACGGACCGCGTCGAAATTCTTCTAGCCATTCTTAAGCTGCAAGGCAGCGCCATCTCTTCGCATTATAGGTAAACCACAATGTCAAATGACTACTTTTACAAGTAATAAACATTTGAGAGAAGAATATTTTCTTTAGATTTTAAAAATCAAGCAGTTACATGCTTTAAAATAATAAAAATGGGTGCGTGTACTTATGTAGGCGCGTGAGAAGTTATCCTTCTTTGGCATCGTTTAAAATTAGTTTTTAATTGCATGCAAATAATTAATTACAATAAATTAATAAAAAGTCTGGAAAAGGACACAGTCAATAAAGTTCAGTTTTAATTTAAAAAAATAAATAAATAATCAAAATATTCAATTAAAATCGCTACTGAATATAATTTATTAGAACATATGTGATTTGCACTTGTATGAAACTCAAACACGTATTCCGAATATACAAACTAGAAACATGTGGATAAATATTATAAATATGAATACCTATAACTGTTACTTTGTTACAAAAAATAAAGATGTGGTTTTTGGTTCTACTACACCAATGGTCAAGCGATGGCGCTGTAGTCTCCTGAATCGCGCTTTGGTTCCGTTGTTCCAGATTAATAAATACTTTTGATAGGCCTTCACAATGCAGTCGTTAGCACCCACTAAATAAAGATTCTATTTCTATTTTGTTGGTAGATTTTCTTAATGTGCGGTAAACACAAAAGTAACGCATGAAGTTGTTGACCAACTTCATGCTGTTAAAATTTTGTGTTACAGTGATGCGCGCGCATCTTAAAATTTCACTCTCATCATTTTTTCATAACGCGCCTAAAGAAGTATAACTTCAAAAATTATAAATATGTATATATATATATATTCTTTAATTAAAACAGATATTGTAAATATATTTCTGTAATAAAGAAATACATATTAGCCACGACAAGGCTATAACTTGCAGCTATAACATTGTTTAACTAGCCTTAATTTAATCCTAAACTTTTAAAGCTTATTTAACATAACTAAGTAATTAAATGGATAATTCTTTGAAAAGCATTCTCCGCTCAACTTTCGTGGTAAAATTACATAATTGAGTTTTAAGAAAATATAAAAATATTAGAAGACGCGGTAATAAGATTACACATGCAACATGTCAACTGATACATAATTCACGTAGATCCGATCACGTAGATTTCGTTTTGATCGTTTTGTGTCGATAAATTTCAGCTAAAATCATTCTCTGCTACTCCGATAATGCGTAGAGTATCTGCAAATACTGGAAACTAGTGCCAGAGTTGGCACTCGTTGAGTTGGTTTCAAGTTGATCAAGATTGTTGAATTAACTGCCGAAAATCACTGTATTTATGAGTTTCTAAAAATAGCTTATACTATGTGTGTTTATAGTAGAAACAGACAAGAGAATAATCTATACATATAAAACTCAAAGGTGACTGACTGACTGACAGTGATCTACCAACGCACAGCCCAAACCACTGGACGGATCGGGCTGAAATTTGGTATGCAGGTAGATGTTATGACGTAGGCATCCGCTAAGAAAGGATTTTGATCAATTCTACCCCCAAGGGGATAAAATAGGGAATGAAAGTTTGTATGAAAGTTTGTCAATTTTACATCGATCGAGCTGAGACTTTGCATGCAGGTATAAGAAGAATCATAGATGAATGTCATTGTGTATAATACAAGCCTGAGAACATAAACTGTAGTCTACATTTCAGCTCTACACCGAAGCGAAGCGAGGGCGGGCCGCTACTCAATTATGAAGCGATAATTAATTTTCGCCATACCATGGTTAATCATTTTCGTGGGCAATTCACCACGAAGGTTGTGTCACGAAAATTACGACGTGACCACGAAAGCTGTTTGCTTTTGGTTGTTAGAATTTTTTGTAGGATAATTTACCGATAAATTCATTTATAGTACAGTGACGAACACTAAGTTCATCCTATAGAGATGGAGAATACAACTGAGTATCCTTGCGGCTAAAACTAGTGGCGACATGTCGGCACTATTCAAAGATGTGAGCCGTTTAAAACACGCGCTCACAAAATTGCTGAAACTTGTGACAATAACAAAATGCACTCTAACTTTTTTAATTTACCCTACCCTAAATATGAAATATGTATATGTACATACATGTATGTATTGTACAAACATATATATGTATATCTCCCTATTCCATCTATAGGGAAGGCCTGTGCCCCAGTAGTGGGGACATTAATAGGCTGATGATGATGATGATGATGATATATGTATATACATACAGATGGAGCTAAAGAAGTTACACTTCAGTCGTGTGGTCATAAGCTCATTCGTTTCTTTTTTACTAGAAAAAACTCCACTTGGTCGGCTGAATGCACTGAATTTATTCTAGTCAATTTTTCTTTTTTTTTCGTACTTAAATCTAGGGATTTAGTGTTTGAAAAAAAAACAGTAAAATGTCTACAGATTTAATCCAAGAATTAATGTCTGTAATTCGCAGAACTCATCAGACAGGAGTATTTAATTGAATGAATGAATGACTAACTACATATGATTGTTATGAATGAGTTATTGTTGTTTTTTTAATCTATGTAGCACAATTTGTTTATTGGCCAGAAACTCGCAATGTTTGTTTACATTAATGTTTTATCATCGTACATACAACTGTTTCTAGTTAGCGCCGGGTCATGAGTTCAGTATCATAATAATATGATGTTTTTATTAAGTTGCGCGTTTAGTTATCTCTTTGGGGAAAGAGAAATTGTAATAATATTAGTTTTAGTTAAGTTGTATCTTGAAATGGGAATACTTTGGCGCTAATTAGTAATTACCTTTGCTTAGTCAAAACATTGATCATGGATAATGGAAATATATGGATCTCAATACAGTACGTAATGGACGCACATGTTTATACATGTAAGTATAAAATAAGTGCGCACGGACCAGAAATCCGAAGCGAAACTTGTTTTCTTAGATAACCTTACATTAGGCGGTGCATAAGGCTTAGGGGAATGGAGCAGTGCACGCATCCCACACACACACACACACACACACACACACACACACACACACACACAGACACACAAAGTCGGATACTGAAAGCAGATGTTTTGTTTCGAATCCGAGAGGCTACAAGTGGTAAGAAGACAGATTGTTGCTAATCTTTAATTAAATTTTGAGTCATCATCATCAACAGCCCATTCGAGTCCACTGCTGGACATAGGCCTCTCCAAATGCACGCCACTCAGATCGATCTTGTGCTACTCACATCCAGCTCCTGCCAGCCACCTTGCGCAAATCGTCACTCCATCGTGCCTGAGCACGTCCTACACTACGTTTGCCTAGACGCGGTCTCCACTCCAGAACTCATCTACCCCAACGGTTATCGGTTCTTTGGCAAATATGGCCAGGCCACTGCCACTTCAGCTTGTTAATCCGGTGGGCTATGTCGATTACTCTGGTTCTCTGTCGGATTACCTCATTTCTGATGCGATCCTTCAGAGAAACGCCGAGCATAGCCCTTTCCATAGCGCGCTGAGCGACTTTGAACCTGTGGACGAGCCGTACCATCAGTGTCCACGTCTCGGCTCCGTATGTCATCACAGGTAGGACGCACTGATTGAAGACTTTCGTCTTTAGACACTGTGGGATCGACGATGTCAGGAATTGACGTAGCTTCCCAAATGCTGCCCAACCTAGCTGAATTCTTCTATTCACCTCGTCCTCAAAGTTGTTTCTACCTAACTGCAATGTCTGCCCGAGGTACACATATTTTTGCACAACTTCGAGAACGGCACCGTGTATTGCAAATCTTGAGTAACTTTGAAAATCTTACCGGGCCAAATTTTCACTATGTGTGGATTATAATTTATATAATATATTTTAACAGAAAATATTGTGTAAAATACTTATAGTTATAATATGTTTAGATACCTATTGCAATCCTGGCCGCCCCATATATTGAGATTGCTTTCCCCCTCCACTTTCTCTATGACATTCATCTTGTCCATATCTATCTCTCCCGTGTTTATGGTGAGCCGGTCCGAGATGGTGTCGTTTTTCTGAGAAAAAAACAAAAGAAATTAGTAATATCATTATGTCATTTTTCTAAAAATATACAAAATATATGTGATCCTACTGCAGCGTAGCAAGAAGAGGCTACGACGCGTAGTTGACTACGCCGTAGCAGACTAGTCTGCTACATCTTCATTTATATGAACTAGCTGACCCAGCGAACTTCGTACCGCCTAAAAAAAAATAGGGGGTGGTGGTAGAAGGGTGAAAATTTAGGGTTGTATGTATTTTTGTATGATGTATCATAAAATAAAACAAAAAAAATTGTGCAAAAAAAAAATTTAAGGGACCACCCTTAACATTTAGGGGGATGAAAAATAGATGTTGTCCGATTCTCAGACCTACTGGATATGCATATAAAATTTCACGAGTTCAATTACGTACACCGTGACACGAGATTTTTTTATATAAAAGACTAGCTATGATACCCGTCTTCGCTCGGAAGTTGATATGAGATTACGTGGTAGTTGAAAAAAAATGACGTAAAAAGTAAAAGAGAAATTAAAAACATTTTGTTATTATTTACACTACTTGTTTATAAACAACATTTTTCATTTTATTGTCCGGGGTATATATACATATTTTTGTTGAATTTCCTACTCTTGAGCAAGCTACATATAGCTGACCGTGAGAGAAGCATGATTCTTTGAGGTTGATGCCACAATATTTTTAAAGTTTGCCCTTGCGCTTTGTTAATTGTAAAACTGAAGGCTAATTTAATTGGAAACTGCAATCTTTTAAATTGAAATGGCAATTCAGAAGAAATCAGTGGTATTCTACTTTCTCACACCTTCTTGAAGTTCAAATACTCGACCACACATGGTGCCAAGACACTTAATTTCCAAGTTCAAATACTCGACAACAGATGGCGCCACTAGACTTAATTTCCAAGTTCAAATACTGGACAACAGATGGCGCCACTACACTTAATTTCCATGTTGAAGGGTTGGAATAGCCCTTATTATATCTTTAAAAACACTCCCTTTAGGTTAAAACGGGAACTTTCTTGTTCGAGGGGGGATAAAGGGCTATCACACTATATAAGTCCCTTTATCGTGTCGGGACTCCTTTTTAAGTTTTATCGGCACGCACATTTTATCAACTTAGTTTTATTATATAAATAATTATAATGATTACGCGTCACGTTGTTTGTCCGGGATGGACTCCCTAAACTATTTAACCGATTTTAATCAAATTTTCACACCGTGCGCAGTTTGATCCAACTTGAAAGATAGGATAGCTTACATTTCAATTTAAAGTCGCAATATAAATTTATTGCAAATCATTACTTTTGGGCGGTACGAAGTTCGCCGAGTCAACAGCTAGTATAATATGGACGAAGGATGATAAATTTTCTCTTCTTCGTCAGTCAGGTAGATCCTCAAAAAGTATTAGTGTCGCCGCACACGGGCCACCGACTATAACCACAAAACGCCGCCACCGCGAATAGTTAGTAGAACCATATTTCTTGTAGTTTTCATACATTTTATATGGACACGTCATACACGGTACGCCGGTGGCCGCCACACGCTAGAAATCGTCGTTGCTCGCTTCTTGTGGCCCGCACCGGCCACTTAATGCGTCGATACAAAACGCCGCCACACGTCACTCGCGCGATTCCCCACCCCTCTCTCCCTTACCTTAGTCGGCCGCTGTCGCGCGCTTCAGCTACTTAAGTAGCCACTTCTAGCTTCTCGTGGCGGCGTTTGTGGCTGTGGCGTGTGGCCCGTGCGCGGAGACACTTACTCATGTATTTTTTCTTTATTCACGTAATCAAAACATTATTAGAGATACTAGCACACCAGTGAAACAAATGTTCACCAAAACCCGATTTAAAAAAAAAATGTATTTAATTAATTGAGAACTTAGGAGATTTTGTGTGGTTTCGTTTGAAATTCGTGATTTCTCGAAAACCGGAAGTGCTACGTTACTCAAATCCGGTTTGTAGTCTTATCAGACTATTCTTAACTTATAACTTAAATATTCTCTTTATCTATCTCTTACGGTTTGGCCGCTGAAACAGCACCACAGACGGACAGACGGACGGACTTGTCTAATAGATAAGAGATACAGGTTTGAAATGTCACGTTACGTTATAGAATAAGATCCCAAGACTGCCAGACCTCACTTATTTTCTCATGGACGAAATATAGATTATCGAGTATTATTAGTGTGTACAACGAACGTACACATACTAGACTTGCAACGAATATTCGGTTACTATTCGGTATTCGGCTGCTTTTATTATATTCGGCCGAATTCCGAATACCTACATATTATTCGGCCGAATACCGAATACTTAAATAATATATTTTGTCATAGAGAAATAATAATTGGTAAAATGAAAAATTAAATTCGATTGATTACGTATATATTCATATTTTCATTTCTGTCATATAATCATTTAAGTAGTCATTGGTACATAACATAGGTACATAATCATCTTCTGAATTGGAAAAATGCAGGTTTCTATGTATTTGAATTATTGTGATAATCAAAATTTAGAAGGGTAAGGTTCTCATTTCTTTTATAATCATTTATTAAGTAGCCATTGGTACATAAAACAGGTACATAATTTAATCATTTTCTGTATTAAACAATTTAACAGTTTTTAATTCATTCAGTCATGTGATGAATGGTTACATAATAGCAATAATTTAAAGTTTAAACGCCGTTTTTGGCCATATCTAAAAAGTTTGTTTCATTTAGCCGCAGTTTAGCTTGAGGACGGCAGATTAGAACAAAACAAAGGAGCGCAAAACAATCACGTCTGTACAAGTTTTTAGCGCTATAATCCAGCCGAATACTTTTACCTAATATTCGGCTATTCGGTCAGGGGCCTCGCCGAATATTCGGTATTCGGTATACTGCCGTATATACTATTCGTTGCAAGTCTAATACATACTCGCTAACTTGTGCTGTGGGCCAATTTTCCCGAATCAGGTGCCACAAGCACGTAAAAATTTGACTCACTTCACTTACAGTCTGGGGACTGATTATTGTTTACGTATGTTGTAGAGAATATTGTAAACAATTTGAAATTGATACTGCCTGACACATTCTATTTGCAGTATTTATTGCCAGACACTTTAAATGTTGAAAGCAAAAACTACAAAACTTACTTACAGTCTGAGACCTGATATTAATCTATGATATTTAGCGGGCTATTATTATATTTTGTAAGCTGCCGGTCAACACTTCGGGGCCAAAAAATCCCTAAGCTTATTTGAACTGCCACTGAGGACAGGCTCGCTCATGTTTATTAAGTGTCTTTTTAATACAGCTTCATTAAAGTTATGTAGTAAATACGGTACAGGAAGCCTTTTATAATAATTAAATAACTTCTTATTATCAAAATTATTTAAACAAGTTTGTGTTTTTTGCTTTCGACGTAAAAAAGTGTCTGGCAATAAATACTGCGAACAGAATGTGTCAGGCAGTATTAATTTCAAATTGTTTACAATATTCTCTACAACATACGTAATACGTTGTATGTATGACTTGCCGGCGTTTTGGATTATTCTGTAAGCCTGCATGTTTAAATTGAATAAATAAATAAATGAGCAATAATCAGTCCCAAGACTGTAAGTAAAGTGAGTAAAATTTTTATGTGCCAGTGCAACCTGTTTCGTGAAAGTGGCCCACAGCACAAGTTAGCGAGTATGTATACGTTCGTTGAACACACTAATACTACTCGATAATCCATAGTTCGTCCATGAGACAATAAGTGAGGTCTGGCAGCCTTAGGATCCTGTATTATTACGTCTTTTTACAATTTTTACTAAGAAGTGACGTCACGAGCTCCCAAACTGTGACGCGCTTTATCGTTGTAATGTTTTGGTTTTAAGTTTCTCAGGTAACTTTTTTAAGTTTATTGCTTAATTACTAATTAAAATTTAACGTTTGCTTGAATACAAACACGGCCGCTTTTCTAAAACCTAGTAGGTACTCACCACAGCCAACAGTCCAAAATTATTGACTTTAAGTTCCCCGCGGATGCTGAGCAGGGGTTTGGCAGCATCGAAGATCGAATCTTGGTAGCCCCATAGAAACCTGCGAGATTAAGTTTCATCAATAACTAAGATATGATATTTCTTACCAAAGAGGATTTCTGGAATGACGGAAGCTAGGTGGCAGTACTCAGCCGAAACGTTTACTCATTCGTCTAATCGAGTAATACGGCTGCCCCGCCCCCCACGACAACGGCTAACTAGAGTCGAGGTTCGAGTCTCAGAGACGCCCTCTAGTTGAGCCGACCCCTCAGGTTCGAGTGGTCTAGAGGCTCCAGACGGAGAAGAGCCCCCCCGTGAGGAGATGCCATCCGCCTGGAATATCTCTAGAGGCACTCGCCAATTCTCGGCTTGAGGTCCCCTTATGCCTTAGGATCTCGCCGTCCCCAAACCCTATGACGCTGTAAAGGTCATCTATGACCAATAGCATACACACTTAAAAAAAAAGAGTAATTCGGCATAGTCTATGGATCAATATGAATGCTAGTTCAATTTCGCGCCAAAAACTTCATACAAAAGACCTCATGTCACCGTGACGCCAACTGGTGGCGAAAGTTTTCCTACACACCCTCATTATTGGAAGCTTGACTGCAAAGATAAAATCATTCAAATCGAAAGAAAATATAACTAGAAAAAATTCCACGCGGACCAGGCAGCACACGGGACTCAAACCCGCACCCTTCGCTATCCGGGCGAATGCACTGACCATTATGCTACCGCGGCCCGGATGGCCGTGTCGAATTCTTTCTAGCCTTTCTTAAGCTGCAAGGCAGCGCCATCTCTTCGCATTGCAGGTAACCCATACTGTCAAATGAATACATTTACAAGTATTAAACGTTTCAAAGAAAAAAAAATATCGAAAATATCATTGCTTGACTGCCACGATAATATCATTGCTTGACAACAACTATCATATCATTGCTTAACAGCAACTATAATATCATTGCTTGACAGCAACTATAGGTAATATCATTGCTTGACAACAACTATAATATCATTGCTTGACAGCAACTATAATATCATTACTTGACAGCAACTATAGGTAATATCATTGCTTGACTGCCACGATAATATCATTGCTTGACAGCAACTATAGGTAATATCATTGCTTGACTGGCGCTTATTTGACACGCTTAAAGGAGGTTGTGGGAGACGATAAATTTGTTTGTACAGCTGAAGGAGCGTACTTAATTCAAAAGTTCGAAGGCTAAGTTTAGCGCATTTAAGTACCAAAGCTTCGTCACGTTTGTGTGGGATAAGCATTACGGCAAGCGCCATTTTGGGATCTAGAATTTTTCTCGACTTTTTTCTAAAACTCACATTGATTTAACTCTGTTCTTTAAACTGACATGTTATTTGAATAATTATATGTCAAACTTTTCCGAAACTAGGTGTAATGCTAGTATTTTATTTTATTCTCACCTATGTAAGGGCAGCTGAACAAATGCATCCGGATGATTGGCAAATGGTATAACTGACAACACTGGCAGCCGAGCGAGGGTGTTTGTGTACTCCAAAACCTTTGCCAAACCCTACAAGAAAAACAAAAAAAAAATCTTAAGTCTATGGCTGTGATGTCCCTACTGCTGGTGCACAGGTTATCCCCATGGATGGAATAGAGATCACACGCATTCCTAGTGAGGATACGTAGGTGCTTGCGACTGCAGATGTAGCCGGGGCCAACAAGTTTCTTTTATTACGTCAAACAGTACTGCTGTACCAGCTATCTTTGCATTTGGACTTTATCACCACTTAACATCAGGTCATTTGCATACCTGGCTATACATGTATATAAAAAAAACAGATAATTCTACCTACGAAACGTGAGGGAATGTCCAAAGTAAAGTTTAAACATCCAATTATGATCTGTATACCTCGGAATGGGGAAAATAAAGGTGTTAAAAATCAAAATAAACAGTAATTAAATTTGGGGCTTTTCCAATTTTGAATTTCGTAATGACGCATCAAGTAATGATTTGCATAGGCAGCGGTATAGTATTGTGTGTTTGTTGTACCATAGACAATTGGCGGGAACTTTTTTGATTTTTTTTTCTGGTTGCGGCAAACTTCTTGAGGTAAATCACAAAAAAATAAACTTGCGCAGTAGACCTTTTTTATGTAAAATTGCTACTGCGTAGGCTTCTAGGCTTCCTTGTCTATTAATGGCCAAGTTGTTGTTCAAGAAGTTTGCCGGGGTGTACAGCTACTAGACGCACCAAAGCAGAGAGTGCTCAGAATAAAAGTATAATTTGTGTCACACACACATTGACGTTAAGTTTATGGGCATTCTCACGGATTTTGAAGCAGAATTTATTTGCGACTAGCAACATGTGTTTTCAATATCAGTTCGAGGTAGGCGGGAGAGCCATCCTTCTGGCTACTTTCTGTTTTGGAGTTAATTGAAACTGGTCGTAAATGATATTCTTTAGGGACATTGATTATATAAATCGAAAACTTTTTGAGCATCGATTAAAGACAAGTAAGTCTGCTTTGTAGCATAACATATAAAAACATCTACTGCGTAATTTTATTTGTCTGTAGTTAGCTCAAGAATTATTGGCGGGAACTTTTTATTTTTTACAGACTTCGCCCCCCCTAGTAGTAGTAGTTTAGTTTTAAGTCTAGATCGCGGTGGTCATGCACCGCGATATGATAAATAACGCGTTTTGATCACGTTCAAATCTCAAATAGGCTAGTTGACCCTTTTTGGAAAAAGGTTTTAAATGGTTAATAAATGTTCTATTACACCGAAAAAAAATGTATTGTATTTTTTTGAGACCTAGAAAGCTACAAATCTTTAATTTTAAAATAGACTTTTCATGGACATACAAAAACGCTGTCGGCCATTTTAGTCTATAGATTATCTATGCTATGACGTTGACGGTAGTAAACAAAAACTCGTAAGCACGTAGAAAATAACCTATCTGTGTTTATAATAAAAAAAACATGATTTCTAATAGATACCACGAAAAATATAGTAATTATCATTATTGTAGTGTACGAGAATGTAAAAACACATCTTGAAGACTCCAGGAAAGTTGTGGATTAAAGTACCGAAAGAAATTAACCAACGCAATACCTGGTTAGAACTTGCTAAAAGTGATCCTGCAACTTTATCGACTCATAGTAAAATTTATTTTTGCGAAGATCACTTTGATGTAAGTACTCATTGAATAATATTTTAAGTCTCTTCATATATTATCAGTTTTAATAATACAAGTTTTAAAGTTATGTATGAATGACATTTAGTTGTTTACTAAAAGAGACGTCACAATCATGGTGGATAGACTAAAAATTATTTTTATAAATTAAATTTCTACAGCTATCTTCTGCTTTTATGCAGTGATCGATATATTAAGGTTCCTTAGACCAAATACTTTAAGAAATAAACATTTATTTAATACAATTCGACATGAGTCAACTAGCCTATTACTAAGGAGTTTAATAGTTAGAGACGCGATAAAAAACGTGATGTGTGTAAGAGAGAGAGGGAGAGAGAGAATCTAACTGAGTAATAAAATATAATTAATAACAAAGAGCGGAAATAAAAACATATTATATAAAATGTAAGCAGCACAAATATTAATAAACCAACAAAAGTTATAATATTGGTCAATCAGGACTTTGCCTCAGCTCAGCATAATGCTGCCGTGACATGTAACTTAATGTGTCACGGCAACTCTGGTATTCCGACACATTTTAATGTAATGTAAATTGTCGTGTTCATGCTACGGAGACTGAAGGAGGATTTTCTCGATTCGGTTGGTACTTTTCTCTATTAATATTGTTAAACTAAAATTTTGTAGATTGTCTAAATAGAAAAAGAAATCAGCAAAATTCACAGATAAGTAAGATTGTCTGAATGGCAATGTCAGTCAGGGCCGCGTTCGGAACCTGCGCTCCGGGTGCAACCAATCTTAACATGGATGTCATTTGCGTAGACAGTGGCACCCCCCTAAACTCACATTGTTGTTTCTTTGTCGCACTGTATTTGTGATTTTGTTGTTTCTTTGTCGCACTGTATTTGTGATTTAGTATTTTTGTTTTATTTTTTTGGTGTGTTCGTCGTTTTTATTTTTTTAATGTTTGTTTTATTGCTTGTTAATGTTATTGTTTCGTGTCGTGGCAACATCAGCATCATGCTGAGTTGGGACCGATTATGGAGGCCATACACATTAGGTTTTGCATGCACGGTTAAAACCATCATGCAAAACCTAACGTGTATGGCCTCCATTAGAGACAAAAAAAAATTGTGTATGTTTTGTTTATATATTCATTTACTGTTTTGTCTCAAATAAAATTGTTTTTCTTTCTTCTTTCTTTCTTAAACTTACCAATAGAGGCATGTTGGGTACAATAACTTGATCAAACTGCACCCCCACGGACTTGTTGGGAAGAAATCTGAAGTCATTCTTCTCTTGAAATGTGATGTGGTCGCCGTCAAACTCTACGTTCACTCTCTCTAACTGCTGCCTGGCAAGGAAAACAGATCATAATTAGATAAGTGCATTTGTTGACAGTGCCGTCTTTGTCCGACCGAGAGGAACTCTTACTAACACATTTTGCTAATAGATATTAATTTTCTTTTCCTTTGAATGGAATGCTTGTACCGTAATTATAAAATTATGTTGTTACTTTATGCTAGCAAACAATGGTTAAGAATGATTCTCTAAATCTAAACTTAATTTTGAAACTTAAATAACAGTGTGTAACGTGGTCATTCTCTATACAGAATGAAAAGGAGAGACTGATGTTAAATTTAGTTTTAAGTCTAGAGAATCGTGCTTGAATCGACACCAATGTATATGTTAATTGAGATGAGTACTGGAGTCTGAGATGCAGGTTTTTTCTCAAACCTACTGACAGATGATTTGGACGCGGCCAAAAGACTTGGCTGATTGTTGAATTATTTTTTGGCCGCCCTAGACGTTCGGTTCAGGCTCAGGTATGCTAGGAGTACTTCACTAGGTGCAAGGTTTGGCTCTCCTACACTAAATATTCATTGTGCTAACGTGGAGTTGCTTGTTTGTTTATAATATTAAATAACACTATCATGAGGTTATCGCCATATCACTTCAATAGGGCACGATGAAGTCTGCGTCATTCATATGTTGTATGTGAGACGACAGAATTGTGACGTACGTAAAAGTGTATTTTGTAACAAAATCTCGGAAATTAATCTATGGAATAGTAACTTGAATTGTACGTGCGTGCTAGTTTAAGATAATGTTAACACAACAGATTAGTCAATTGTGAACTTTAGAATTTCCTCTGCGTAGCTGGGATGGACTTGTGACGTGGTCATGGAAATGGCAATTTTTTTAATTTGCTCTTTCATTTCATCTTTTCATACAACATTCTAGGGGTAATAATATAAATGGGGTTATATTCAATAATGTATTTTTTCTACATTGAATGTACATCTAATCATTTAATGTACTGCTTTAAAGAGAAGTATTTTAATTTTCTTTCTTTGGTGAATCGCTAGTTCAGCTTGAGACATCTATTTTGAAAATATTATATCTGCTGTTTTAAACTTTCATGGTCACTAACATTACAGCTATTAACGGGATTGTTACCAAGTACCTTGTTTTTTATGAGTCTCCGATATTTCTTGACGTAAAGATTAGGGTGCGGAATGATGGTTCGCTGAGTCATTCCATTCACCGCAAACTCACACACACAGACCGTTATCTCAACGCCTCCTCGCATCACCACCCTAGACATCTAAACTCTGTAGTGACTTCCCTGACGAACCGTGCATATGACTTGTGTGACAAGGAACACCTGCACGAAGAGTTGGAGTATGTACGGCGGGTCCTACAGAATAATGGATACAAGGGGCAGTTTCCACCCAAACACAAATTAAGGCACCAGACACACATAGTAAGCAGGCAACCAGTATTTTTGCCATATATCAAAGGAGTGACAGACAAGATCTCGAACATACTTAATAAGTACTCACTGAATACTGTCTTCACTCCTTTACAAAAAGTGTCACAGTTTCTACGATCTCCCAAAGACAACTAACTCCCTTTGGAGAAACCTGGTGTATATAAGATCGACTGCAGCTGTGGTAGTTCATATATTGGCCAAACAAAGCGGACAATAGCGTGCCGAATGAAAGAACACATAAAAGCAGTCAGAAACAATGATACGCAGAAATCAGCTATCGCGGAACATTTAATCGATTCGGGTCCTAATCACTGGATTGAGCTATATAATCCACAAATCATCTCGACAGAACGCCACTATATACCAAGATTGGTCAGGGAAGCGATTGAAATAACCAAACATAAAAATTTCAATCGTGAGGATGGGTTTAAATTGTCAAGTGTCTGGAATCCAGTGGTTCGTATGTGCAAAAACCGTAAAAATCAAAAAAGTGTCGTTCCGCGATCTGATACTGTGAGTATTGTGTGTCGGGAACAGGTGCGAGTGAATAGTGAGAATGTGACCAATTGTAGGGGTATCCAGCGCAGTAAAAGACGACGTCAGAGGGCTGAGGGTAGACCGATATGTCTGCCAATAACATCTACCCGCGATTACTACAGTTACTCCTTGATCATGGCGCTTGCAACAGTGCCGAAATATCGGAGACTCATAAAAAACAAGGTACTACATGGTAACGATCCCGTTAATAGCTATAATATTATATCTGCTATGGTAATTCAGCGATTTCTGCCTGTCTGAATTTCCGATCTGTTTAATTTTATTAAAAAATATGTATTCTTTCGCATTATCGTCTATTTTTGACTTTAACTTGACTTAGCAGGGGGCCCCTTGGATCCACGGGGCCCTGTTTTGAAGCCCAAAAAGCCATATTGTAGATCCGACCCTGCGCACCTCTCACGGTCCCCGTTCTCGCCCTCCCACACCCTGTACCCCGCAGGCGAGGTCTCAGTTAAGCGGTTGGGGGAGTCGCAAATTGTAAGTGGCCCTCATTGACCAATTGGTCATGCACTTTATATTTTTGAGCAAGTGGTTGCAAGTCAGGGTCATGTCTACAAATGCTACTGAAACTTGGTGATGAACTGTAGTTAAACATTAAAATAAGTAATACGTAATTTGTTTAGAAAAGAAAGACGTTGTTTCGTACATATATAAAGGAGATTGCTCAAATTGGCCCAAATGTACAAAAAATGGATGCGTGTAACTTATGTACGCGCGTGAGAAGTTATACTTCTTTAGCATCATTAAAAATATTTTTTAATTGCATGCAAATAATTAATAATTACAATAAAATAATAAAAGGACTGAAAAAGGATAGTTAACACAGTCAATTAAGTTCAGTTTTAATTTGAAAAATTAAATAAATATTCAAAATATTCAATTAAAATCACTACTGAATTTAAGTTATTAGTCCATATGTAATTAGCACTTGTAAGTAACTAAAACACGTTGTGTCTATATAGAAACTAGAAACATGTGGATAAATATCATAAATATGAAAACAGTGATCAGAGGCGACGAGCGTGCCAACATTGTTTTTGACAACGCGATCATCTTATGGAGCTCCGTGGATCGTTCAAAGTACCTTTCGAACAGATGTCGAAGACCACTTAGTGGTTAATAATCCACCATTATTAGACACTAACATTCATAACGCGCCCGCGGCCCACTTCATGGTGTTACTATTGTGTAACAGTGATGCGCGCGCATCTCGAAATTTCACTCTCATGATTTTTTCATAACGCGCCCGCGGCCAACTTCATGCTGTTACTTTTGGGTTACAGTGATGCGCGCGCATCTAAAAATTTCACTCTCATCATTTTTTCATAACGCGCCTAAAGAAGTATAACTTCAAAAAATATTGAAGTATACAGTAATTCTTGGCGTAATTTATACTTTATTTTACAGTCATTAGATTTAAACTGACCTTTGTATAATATATTCATTTTAAAAAGGACTTTTATTTTTACCGGTTTGGAAAACATACGAATCATTTTTAATGGCTATGGGTGTAGTAACATTCAGCCAAAGACTGATCAAAGTTGTTTATACAACATCAAACAAATCTATTTTCTAAAGATGGATAAAAAAAAATTACACTGTGGTATTAATATCCATAACTATATTATCATTTTCACTACATGCAAATGTGATAAGACAATTATTATAGATGATGGTAGGCGACATCATAAAGTCTATTGCCATACGCCAAACACCCCCATAACATATTATAAGGTGTGATACACTAAATATCTAATATATGGTTATAATATAAACATAACAAATATAATGAAACTTAACTAACTAGATTAACGAGAGTTTAAAAATTCTCTCTAATCTGTAGCTCATTCACCTGTCACAGAGTACCTTATTATAACCGGAAATGCATTGATGATACCTGATTTTAAAAGTTACTCTTGTGCATTAATTTTATAAACAGGCAACTGACAAATGATAATTTTTCAAACAGTCCGGCCTAAGTATTTAGTCCAAGCAATAGAGTAAAGCCAAATAAAAAAAAATGCCGCGCTCTAGATGACTAGACTTTTTTACAGATGTTTAGAATAGGTCGTAAGTTTAAAAATCGGGGAATATAGAGCAGACACGACAACAACGAAATTATTGAATTTACGGAAAAAAATGTAGTGTTCTTTGGTTTATTACTAAATTCCCTAACTATTTTTGTCTGAATCTTTACATTGTAACTCTTACCGTTTTTCAATTATTGTTGTTTATTTGAACATGTTTGTAGTTTTTCCTTTATAAAACCTTAATTGATAAATCATCATTAAATTCCCTACAACTTTTGTTTATTTTTTTGAAGTTATACTTCTTTAGGCGCGTTATGAAAAAATGATGAGAGTGAAATTTTAAGATGCGCGCGCATCACTGTAACACAAAATTTTAACATAATGAAGTTGGTCGCTTTAGCGACCTACTTCATGCGTTACTTTTGTGTTTACCGCACATTAAGAAAATCTACCAACAAAATAGAATCTCTATTTAGTGGGTGCTAACGACTGCATTGTGAAGGCCTATCAAAAGTATTTATTAATCTGGAACAACGGAACCAAAGCGCGATTCAGGAGACTACAGCGCCATCTCTTGACCATTGGTGTAGTAGAACCAAAAACCACATCTTTATTTTTTGTAATAAAGTAACAGTTATAGGTATTCATATTTATAATATTTATCCACATGTTTCTAGTTTGTATATTTGGAATACGTGTTTGAGTTTCATACAAGTGCAAATCACGTATGTTCTAATAAATTATATTCAGTAGCGATTTTAATTGAATATTTTGGTTATTTATTTATTTTTTCAAATTAAAACTGAACTTTATTGACTTCGTCCTTTTCCAGACTTTTTATTAATTTATTGTAATTAATTATTTGCATGCAATTAAAAACTAATTTTAAACGATGCCAAAGAAGGATAACTTCTCACGCGCCTACATAAGTACACGCACCCATTTATATTATTAAATAAATACTTTTAAAGTTATAAGTCTTAATGTCGC